CCAGATGAGAGTGTGGTACTCCTCCCAGAAGAAATGCTTTGCTGTCCAAAAGCTAATGATGAATCAAATGCCACATACCCATTTTGTACTGGTAGTTATAGTCTCTTGCTGTACTTAAAAGAAGTTTCCATGTGCCAATCTTAACTCCTGGTGTCTATGTAAATATAGTCTTAGCACCAATGCACGAATAATTCTTTCTTTCTTTCCTTCTTCCTTCCTTTCTTCCTTCTCCTCCTCCTTCGTCCCCTTCCTCCTTTTTCTTTTCCATCCCCTTCCTCCTCCTCCTCCTCCTCCCTACCTCTCCCTTTTCCTCCAATTCCATAAAGTTCTGGGCTTCCTTCATTTCCCCTCCAAATTCTAACTCTGCTCAGGCAATCCGAGTTGTGCTGCAACCAGAGCAACAGTGCTGGTGGCCATAGCCCAGTTTATCCAGTAAGCAGCTATGCCAATCCCGAATCAGCTGTGAAATTTTAAATTAAAAATTAAATTTGACATAGAGGCTCCTGGAGGGATGAATGGAATTGAGTAGGGGGTTATGATGCTTTGAGAAAAAGAACCAAACTCATCTCCTACCTTCTCCAAATTAGTGTGGTTTAAGCTCAGTTAGGATTGTTCACTTTTTACTCTTTTTTTCTAAATTTGCCCTTGGTAACTCAATTCACACGGAAAGCCTACTCAGGGTAAATAATGGTTTGCTCAATTCCTTCAGTTTTCTGAGTTCGCAGATTACGGAGAACCGTATACTATTCTGCACAGGCTGCATTTGAAGAACACCCTAGATTAAAACATGATTCAACATGGTATTGTGCAAATAGAGCTAGTGTGTTAAACTAAAACTTAAAAATTGAATGTGATACAAACCCTTTTTTGCTGACTTGGGTGTAAAAGTTGAACAAAAGCCAGTTTCTCTGTACCTTCAATTACTTTGTGGGACTATTTCAGAGCCTAACTTAACCATACATAAGTTTGTGTGACCCAAGGCAAAAAAGTGTTCCTCTGACATAGGTTTTTTGGAGACAGGGTAAAAAGCATATTCACTGAATCATTCATTCATGTATATGTAGATATACCATACATATATACACACACCACTCATAGGGAATAGAAGTGGGGGAAGAATGCAGAGAAGAGCAACCAAGATGTTTAAGGGTCTGGAGGTTAAAACATATAAAGAATGATTGCTGGAATTGGGTATGTTTACTTTAATGGAAAGAAGGACTAGGGGTGACATGATAGAATTCTTCCAATATCTCAGGGGCTGCCACAAAGAAGAGGGAGTCAAGCTATTCTCCAAAGCACCAGAAGGCAAGGCAAGAAGCAATGGATGAAACTAATCAAGGAGAGAAGCAACCTAGAACTAAGGAGAAATTTACTGACAGAACTATTAATCAGTGGAACAACTTGCCTCCAGAAGTTGTGAATGCTCCAACCCTGGAAGTTTTTAAAAAGAGATTGGATAACCATTTTTCTGAAATGGTGCAGGGTCTCCTGCCTGAGCAGGGGGTTGAACTAGAAGACCTCCAAGGCCCCTTCCAAGTCTGTATTTTGTTATTCATCCTAATGGATGGATTGGTCTTCCTCAATATGGGTCATCTACCAGAGTCTGGGGGGATTCAGCACAGCATCTTAGCTGTCTCTCTTCTCGACAGAGAACTTAGAACATAAAATCCTTGGGTTGGAAGGGGCCTCTGAAGTCTAGTTCTGAGGTTGTTCCTGGAGTCTGTCAAAGCCACTCTCCCAATTTAGGATGCACAGCCCCTACTACAACAGGGGCCTCTTTGGCCTTTTACTTTGTTCTCTTTCTAGTTCTCGCTTCAGGCCCTGGAACTTCTCCAGCTTCTTGTACTCCTTATGTTGCTGTCACTTGGCACTGATTTTTAATTGTAATATAATATTAATTAACTGTGAAAGTTGGACCATAAGAAAGTCTGAGCACCAAAGAATTGAGGCCTTTGAATTATGGTGCTGGAGAAGACTCCTGCAAGTCCCTTGGACTGCAAGGCGATCAAACCAGTCAGTCCTAGAGGGGATCAACCCTGACTGCTCTTTAGAAGGCCAGATCCTGAAGATGAAACTTAAAATACTTTGGCCACTTAATGAGACAGAAGAACTCACTGGAGAAGAGCCTCATGCTGGGAAAGACTGAGGGCAAAAGAAGAAGGGGAGGACAGAGAATGAGGTGCTGGATGGAGCCACTGAAGCAGTAGGCGTGAGATTAAATGAACTCCAGAGGATGGTACAGGACAGGAAAGCCTGGAGGAACATAGTCCATGGGGTCACGATGGATCGGAAACGACTTCACAGCTAGCAATAACATTAATTAGTAATACAATATATAATATAACTAATTAATTTTAGTTAACACCCAGTGCTTTCTGTCAACCTTTAAAAAAAAGAAAAGAAAGTGATAAAAAGGGATATTAGATGGCAAGGGATAATAGCAGAGCAACCAGAACAGAAGTGCCTTTTATTGACATACCATATTTTTTGGACTATAAGACGCACCTTTTTCCCCTCAAAAAAGAAGGTAAAAATCTGGGTGCATCTTATATACTGAATACAGCATTTTTGGCCTCCTAACCCCCCCCCCCTTTGCAAATATGGCCATGCATAGCCTTTAAGAAGCTTCCAGAGTGCTCCTGGGAACTGGGGAGGGCAAAAATGAGAGAAAAATGGGGCTGTTTTTTGCTCGGTTTTGCCCTCCCCAGCCCCCAGGAACACTCCTAAAGGCTAGGGCGTTTTTGCAAACAATGGGCCGTTTTTGGGTGGTCTATAGAGTGCAAAAACTTTTTTTTAAATTTGCCTCTTCAAAATCTTGGTGCGTTTTATACTCCAGTGTGTCTTATACTCCGAAAAATACGGTACATGGGAAAATAAAGCATTCAGTCAAAGTGGGGTCCTAAGTTTGTCAATCATTTCAGTGCATCATTCAAAATCAGAACAGAGCACCCACAAGTACCCTAACTCCATGGCTTGAAACCCAGCTCTGTTGAGAGCTGGACCATGAGAGTTGTTACCCCACACATCTAGAAGGCCTGTGATTGGGAAGATTGATTTAAAGTTTTATTAAGACCGTTGATGAGGAATCCATGTTTCTTTGGACTTCATGCAATAGCATTTTATTCATATAAAAGCAAATAAAAAGAACTTCCTAAAATGTTTGGATTGCTTGCAGGGATAGCATAGTATTATAAAAAGAGAGAGGACAGACTTTGTATCTCAATAGGAAATATACATATACAAACATATAAATACAAGGACCTTGAAACTAGGCCTAATAACATACCCGTTGGATAGTTTTTGCAGGTATTTGAAGATCAAGTTGGGGTTAAACAGAGCACATTGTTGTCCGAACCAGCCTCTGCATTACCCCTGCTGTGAACTTGATCTACAAAGCAATCTCTGCCTCTCCTCCTCCTCTGCCTTCACCTCTACGCTTGTCATTAATAGACTTCACCTAATTGGGATTAACTTGGATTAATTCCCATGGGAACTGCTTGGGAAGGAGATAATGTCAAAGATCGCCTGTTCTTCCGAACTCTATGCAGCAGGGCTGGGAAGAACCTGCACTGAAAGGGGGAAGCGGCAAAGGCAGGATCCTTAATGCCATTTCAGTTGGTCCTTGACTTATGATCACAGTTGAGCCCAAAATGTCCATTGCTAAGCAAGACAGTTGTTAAGTGAGTTTTGCCCCATTTTACGACCTTTCTTTCCATAGTTCTTAAGTGGATCACTGCAGTTGATAAATTAGGAACACGGTTGTTAAGCGAATCTGATTTCTCCATTGACTCGGCTTGTCACAAGGCCACAGAAGGGGATCTCATAACCTCAGGACACTGCAATGTCTCATAAATACATACCAGTCGTCAAGCGTCCAAATTTTGATCACATGATAGCAATAGCATTTAGGCTTATATACCGCTTTACAGTGCTTTACAGCCCTCTTTAAGCGGTTTACAGAGTCAGCCTATGGCCCCCAACAATCTGGGTCCTCCTTTTGCCCACCTTGGAAGGATGGAAGGCTGAGTCAACCTTGACCCTGGTGAGATTTGAACTGCCAAATTGCAGTCAGCAGAAGTAGCCTGCAGTACTGCACTCTAGCCACTGCGCCAGCATGGCTCATGATCATGAGGATGCTACAACAGTTGTGTGAAAAACTGTCATGTCACTTTTTCCACTGCTGTTGTAACGTCAAAGGATCATTAAAAATGGTTGTAAGTCGGGGACAGTACAGGAAAGAGAAGCATGCAGATAAGACCTCACCTTTCTTGGGCAGAATTGGTGAAGCTCTGCTTACAGATTAAAAATAGGCTTCCTGAGTTTGCAAACCTCAACCTGTGCTATGAATCATTTATAGAGTACATTTGAAAGCGGTGTACTGTAAATGAGATGCTTGGTGTTTCTTTCTTCGTGTCTTTTCTTTGCATTTTTTTTCTTTGTGCCTTTTCTTATACCAACCTAGGTGGCAAATGGTGCCAACAGATATATTTCAAATTCAGGGACTGTGGCCACATAGGCTGAGAATTCTGGAAGTTGACATCCCTATATCTTGAGTTGGGAAAGGATGCACATTGAGACTTTCCCCACCTTCTTTCAATTTTGCAAGTGGTATTGGAGCAAACTAGGCAAGATTGTTACCTTCATGCCCTTCTTTCATAAGAGGTGAAAAACAGGATCTTCAGTTAGACCTAGCAGATTGCCTCTTATGCTTGACTTCCCTTAGCATGGAATTAGATTTGTAGGACAAAACATTTTCTTCCGTATTTTTTTTTCCTGCCACCCACCTCTTTCTATTGCTGAATTTTTATCTTGCTAAGAAGCCACATAGTCTAGTTTAAGCACTTACCTCAGCTGTCTTAATATAGTTGGTAATCTGTTTCAGACTGTTTCATTCATTTGCTACAGTGAAGTATTGTGGCAGAAGATTCTTCCAGGTCTATAAAAATCCCAGGGCATACAATGATTTGCCAAACAAAAAGTTATCCCATGGATAAGAACAAATGGAGCTCAAGATGGAATCTGCTACTAGTACAAACCCTCATTCATTAAAAGCATTCATGGGACGCAGAAAATGCCTGCTATACATGCTCACAGTCACTCTTTGTTACTTCAGTGTTTTTGAATGCCTGCTCCATACGCTTGCTGCCATCGAAGTAGGTTCTTCTCAACTGCCCCTTGATCTCCGAGGCCAGGGCAAGCCCTTGACCCAGACTTTCCATCCTGTTAGATAGCTTTTATTCTAAATAAGATCAATTCTGCAATCTGTTGCATGATTATTACGGAACGCACCCATTAAGCTGTGTCTCTTGAGATTTAGTCAGAAAGCTTTAAAGAGAAGCTGAATCTTCAGGAGCAACTGGGAAACTCTTTGGAAACTTCAAGAACAGGTCTACAAGACGGAGCTAGCTAGATGGACCAATTGACTGATGCAGCATAAGGCAGCTGCATGTGCCTTGAAGGTGTCAATTTGCCACTCTGATCTCTCTCCCCTTCCCACTATGCATTTACTTAACATCGTAAGCTCCCTGGATAGGGTAACTTTTGCGTTTGTACTCATGTATTTGAAGGGATGCGGTGGCTTGATCAGAAAGGGTCGGCAGTTCGGCGGTTCAAATCCATAGCCCCGTGTAATGGAGTGAGCTCCCGTTACTTGTCCCAGCTTCTGCCAACGTAGCAGTTCGAAAGCATATAAAAATGCAAGTAGAAAAATAGGAACCACCTTTGGTGGGAAGGTAACAGCGTTCCGTGCGCCTTCGACGTTGAGTCATGCCAGCCACATGACCACAGAGACGTCTTCGGACAGCGCTGGCTCTTCGGCTTTGAAACGGAGATGAGCACCGCCTGCTAGAGTCGGGAACGACTAGCACATATGTGCGAAGGGAACCTTTACCTTTATTTGATATTTCTACCTCCTTTATTATTTTTATAAATAACCCAAGGGGACATATTTGCCTAATACACCTTCGTCTTCCTATTTTCCCCACAACAACAATCCTGTGAGGTGGGTTGGGTTGAGAGATAGAGACTGACCCAGGGTCACAGAGCTGGCTTTCATGCCTAAAACAGGTTTAGAACTTGGTCTCCTAGTTTACACCAAACTGGCTCTTGCTGGGGTTTTTGTTATGTAGCACACACTACTGTACACATATTGATGTGTACCCCAAATGGGGATCATCCTTGGGTGTGGGGGGGTCTGGCTTGAGATCAGTTTCGACAACCTTCCTGCTCATCTTGACAATTAATTAATTGTTAATTAATTTATTAATTGTGTATACCATCTAATTCCTGATGACTGAGAAATTCTCATGGGGTACACATCCTCTCTTTTTCCTCCTGTTATTTTTAACTGCTGGGCTTTCTTGTATATTAAGCTAGAGGATGATAAAAAGCACACCTGGTTCTAAAGTCATAGAATTGGAAAAGGTGATGAAAGGAACCTCAAGGATCATCTAGTCTTGATTCTGTGTGGACGGCATGAAAATAAATTGAACCATCCCTGAGAAGATAGCCTTTCAGTCTCTTCTTAAAAATCACCAAAGATGGCAAAACCCATACGTTCTTCTCTCACACAAGAGATACCCTCTTGCCACAGGAGTGCCTAATATTATTTTCTGAAAGTTTATCACCTGCTGTAGTTTGCACACCGTATCGGCTGGAAAATGGTGGTAGGGTGTGACCTGGGATGGTGAGGAGACATCTTAGGAAGCCAAGGAAGAAAGATTTATTGACTAAAACATTTGCAACCTTTTTATTTACATCTCCCAGGACACTGCAGCCCTATTGCTTGAAGTCCTTCAACTTTTTTTTTTTAATATTACTATTTCTGCGGTTGAACCCAAGCAAACTACAGTAAATCTTTTCAGGATGAGAAGAGCCCAGGAAGCAGGACATAAGAGGGTTTTGAGGGGTCCTTGGTATTCCCTGGGTTTGGCTGTTTCCTTGCAGATGTTTTGTTACTAAGTAACATCATCAGTGCTAGCACTGATGATACTACATAATTTGGGTAATGAAGCCTCTGCAAGAAAACAACGAAGCTCAGAGAGCACCAAGGACCCTTCATTTTAACCCTGAGCTACAAATATTCTGTTTTTGATAAATGGGTTCTGTTGCAAGGCAGACGTAATTGGATGTCTTGCCTGCATCCTTTCCCTTAATTTAGTTCTCCAGAGGCCACACACACTCAATTACACACTTTCCTTTAACATTACTGGGCTTTCCAGACGCACTGGGCTTCTACTTCCATGATCCCATCCTGGATTCTTCATGTGTAATTCTCTTATGGCTCTAAATGTAGTTACTGTACTATAAGTGCAACTCAAACTCATTAAGCCTTTGTTTTCTTATAAGGCATCTTTGGCCTCCTAAGAGACTTAACCCCTAGAGTCTCACAGATGTATACTATAACCTCCCTTCGAAAAGTAAAGGACCAAATTTTAATTTGCTATAACAGTTAACAAGAAACTTTAAAGACCATCCCTGTTAAGTAGAGAGACTTAAGGTAGAAGCAGATCAGTGGTGGGATTCAAATAATTTACCGACCAGTTCTCTGCCCTAATGATCAGCTGGGTAGGCGGGGCTCAGTGGACATGTGATCATGTGACCGTGGCCAAGTCAATGTCACTCAGGTCGATGGGCACTTCGCCTTAGTTTTTACAATGGTAATAAGGGTTAACTGGAGAGGCAGTTTCTGTAAGCAGGGCAATAAAGATTAGGCTAGAAACAACACCAGAATGTTTCCTTNAAATGCACTGATTAGATGGACACAAACTGATAGCTATCACCGTGCAGCTGATGGGAGTTGAAATTCAAAATTTCAGAAGGGCACCAACATCACTTTTTACTGACTTCAAACTAGTAGTAATTCTCCAGCTGGAAATGGAATGTATTATTATTTTTTCTGCAAAAACTGATTCTTTGATGATCCCGCTCTATAATAAGGGTGGATGCATCAGATTCCATTAATTTTCCTTTCTTTAAGAATTCAATAAGAAATAAATGGAAGTGTGAAAATAATATATAGCATTTAGTAATTTTGTGTTTTCAAGTATTTCGCATGAAGTGCCTAAGGGTTATCTCTAGAATATCCCATCAAGTTGTCAACAATAAATGGATGGTAAAGGCTTAATAAGGCATCTGATTAATGAAATCTTGGCAGAAGTAAGATGTGAACAGTCCTGTATTCAATATTTTACTCAAAATTAATTCAATATTACATATATACTTGGAAAAATTGGGAAAGCCATGTGTCTTCTAGGCTGGTGCTAAGGAATAAGAGCTACGTTCTCAAAAGGTTTATGTTGGGTATGTGTAGAAATTATAATGTTTTGGAGTTTTAACTGATTTGTTCACTTTCCCCAATGGTTGATAGGTTCCACACCAGGTGCCGCAGGAGCGTCCAGCAAGATTAGCTGAGCAACAGGCCTTAGCCTTGCAGGAAAAGAATCGTTCATACACCCTGTTGGAGGACAGTGATGATGAAGAAACCGGTAAAGCAACAGCAGGCCGAAGCTCAAAGCGTCATCACCCCTCACAAGGTCCTGAGAGCAAGCAAAGGAAACGGCACAAACACCTGAGGCAGCGCAAGGAAGAAGAGGAAGACAAAGACTCTGATGAGAAGCCTAGTGGAGAGGACACGGGACGGTGAGCATCCATCTCTTGCAAAAAGCAGAGTTGTGAGAAAAATAAGGAAAGCTGCAGACATTCTTGCTTTTCTTGGCCTAGGATTCCAGAGGAGGATTCAGAGGATGAATGGGACCGGAGTGAACGAGAGCGGCTGCAGGACTTGGAAGAACGTGATGCTTTTGCGGAACGTGTGAAACGCAAGGACAAAGAGAAGACTCGCAATATCCTCGAACGATCAGACAAGAAGGTGTGGTCTCTGCCTTTGGATTTTGCTTTCGTAATGGGGAAGCCCTTCTTGGTTGCATTTGTCCTAACTGTTCTGCCCATTCTTTTCTTATATCCCCCATTTTTGCATTAGGAGCATTTCACCTGGGGCTGGAAAATTTAGGTAAAAAATGGATATTGGAGAGCTATATGCACCTGCAAATATATACACACACACATATCTATACCTGCATATCATCATTGTTTTTTTTAATACAACACTGCTTTTTTTCCTAGCCATTCTAGCCAAAAAGCAGACTTGAAAGAATGTAGACAATGTTTGGTAAAAGTGGAAAACCTAAAAAGATTCCTGAATATGTTTTTTGGAACAGGAATCAGACATAGTTTGCTTACATATCTTTGTAGGCACCCTTTCCACTTTCTGGGGAAAGTGAGAATAGGGATTAAGGAAACTTGTGCAAAATTAGTGAACTGTCTGTGTTAATTTGCAGAAGTTTCAGAACTTTGTATACAACTTAGGGTTTTGATTTATTTTTAAACCATGGTATAGTTCTTATTCAACGTGCAAGACTAATGGCTAAAATTTTAATGCTGATTCATTGAGATATGGAATCTTTTATTTCAGTCCTGCTTTGCAAGGCCTTCATTCCCAATATGGAAACATGTGACTGACTCCTTTTCAATCACTTTCAAATCTCTGCTATGCCAGCTCCAGAGTTCTCATGTTTTGGCCTTTGGTGGTATTTTCTTCCTCTTCTCATACCTGAGAAATATACCTAATACTTATATTATTTAGAAGAGGAAGTTCCACTTTCTTGCTGAGATTATTCCCANAGGGAGGGCAGTGGAGAGGGGCAGGTATGCTTGAATTTTGATTAATCAACTACCTCCAGTACAAAGCTCCCCCATTGAGCCCCTGAGCCACCTGATATATAATATGGTAATATGATGAAAATTTACATCCCACCTTTCCTTGGGGAGCTCAAGGCATCCTATGTGGGGCATGGTCAGCCTTCTCTAAGGCTTCTTCCATCTAAGCACCTTAAAGGGCCAGATCTACTATATGATGATTTAGCATAATATGCCCCTTCAAGTTGTTTTTCAGAGTAATGTATCAAAGTGGTGACTATTGATCATTCTCCTAAATTTCCTAAATTATACTATTGAAAATGGAGGGTCAATAGAAAGGGTTTCTTGTGCTGATATCTGGGGATTTCTGATACTCCATATAATGGGAGTATCAGATATGTGTATCAGAATATATGTGGTTCTATAATTTGACCTGTATGTTCTTTGCATCAAGTTTTGATTGGCAATTCTCTACCAGGATTTTACTCCCAAGAACAAAGAGTTCTTGCAGGCTAGAAATTGCCCCTGCCATATGGGTACAACACATAGGATGAGCCCGTGGGAATAAAATGACCCTGCCTGTACATGTTTTCATCCTATACTTACTTTACCTGGCACAGAGTAAACCCCATTAAATTAATAGACCTTATTTTTCAGTGTGCATGCACAAGATTTTATTGTTAATCTAGTGAAGGCTTTCCAACTGATGTCCTCCATAATGTATTCTGTTCTCTGGGGATTAAGGGGATGAAGTCCAACACATTTGTACGGCATCTCAAAGGCATCAGATTAGAGAAAGCAAATCTAGTTTGAGATGGGCCAAGGCAGGGGTGAAATTCAGCAGGTTCTGACAGGTTCTGGAGAACCGTTAGCGGACATTTTGAGTAGTATGGAGAACCAGTAGCAGAAATTTTGAGTAGTCCGGAGAACCGGCAGCAGAAATTTTGAGTAGTTTGAAGAACCGGTAGTGGAAATTTTGAGTAGTTCGGAGAACCGGTAGCGGAAATGTTGAGTAGTTTGGAGAACTGGTAGCGGAAATTTTGAGTAGTCCAGAGAACCTGCAAATGTCACCTCTGGCTGGCTCCAGAGTGGGATGGGAATGGAGATTTTGCAGTATCCTTCCCCTGCCACGTCCACCAAGTCACACCCACCAAGCCATACCACACCCACAAAGCCACACCACACCCATAAAGCCACACCCACAGAACCAATAGTAAAGAAAATTGAATTTCACCACTGGGCCAAGGGCATAATCTTGCATAGCCAGAAGTCAATGGGGTGACTGCAAGTACGGACTTGTGGTATTTACCATCCATGTCCATCCATCCATCTCTCCCTCTTTCTCTCCCCACCTGCAGCTTAAGATTTCATTCAGTGAGAATCAGCTGGAGAGGACATTCCAATACCCATCAGAGAGTTCCCTACTGGAGGAGTTTGGGCCCCCAGAAGAGTCAGAGTCTTTGGTTAGCACAAACCCTCTTGGAGATGAGGAAGAGGAAGAAGAGGAGTTGCTGCTGCTTCATCGTGGCCTCCCTGGCCTGCTCAGGAGCAAACCACTTATTGTAGGTGAGTATCTGGAAATTCCCTGGAAATGCTTGAATTAAAGTGGATGACAAAACCTTTCCACAATCACACTTGATACAAATTCTGTCTCTTTTTCTGGGTTTTGAATTGTAACTTGTACAATTGTAAATTGCGAGTTGAGCTAAAATGGGGTGACAACCTGTTATAGAATACAATAGAATACAATAGAATACAGTAGAATAGAATAGGAGTTGGAAAGGACCTTGGAGGTCTTCTAGTCCAACCCCCTGCTTAGGCAGGAAACCCTACATCACTTCAGACATTATGTTTATTGGTAAGAGAAGAAAGGTCTTGTAGACAACTGCCATCGTATAGAGATTAAGGAGTTTTCACACATCTGTCTGTTGTTTGACTTGCAATAGCAGATGTTGTATGTAGTGCTTGAAAGCTTCCCTAGGTTAAAAATTCCCTGCTTATCCTCATACAGTGGGAACTTTCAAGCATGCTATAGCTGGAAAGGCTCACAAATATCAACCTCTGCTGATCAAAAGAGCACATTCACTGAGCTGAATTCAAAGATTTGTTTCAGGAATAATACCATCTATTTCCATGATAGACAGAGCTTTCGACAACCCTAAAGAAAGATTGTCCCTGAATATCAGTGTGATGATTCTGATGTCTAGAACTATATCCAGCAATCGCAACAAAAGGAGAGCAAAGTTTAAAAAATAATAATAATCAGACTACAAGTATTTGTAATTGATATCAGATGAAACACTAATTTTCATCCAGATCTCCCTCCACCAAAAAAACCCAACCCCTGTACCATTATAAATAGAGAAGTAAAACCAGAAATGCTATAGCTGGAAGAATAGTAATAAACAGGAGCTTTAGAAATAATACTGAAGTGCCATCTAAAGGCCTTTTTAACAAGTGCAGAAATGGGGAATGCAAACTCAGGAGTTGTTGTTTTCGTTTGCTCACTATGCCAGTATTCTTTCTTTTCCTTTTTCTAGATGAGTCCTGTCGGCGATAGCTTTTCCTTCCGGTGCAGGAAAAGGTAGAATCCAGTTCAAGATTGAAGTCGTGTTCCAAACCCTTCAGCTGGACCTTGAATCTCTTTTTGTCTTCCAATGACTGACATACCAAGGAAAAAGAAACAGGGACCAATAAAGACCTATCAGCCTTTCCCTACAGCTTTGAAGGCCAAATGTTTCTTTCTTCGGGTGTTACGCACCATCTTCACCCGCTCTTCTCTTTGCGTTGACCCTGAAAACAGAATCTCTTCGCTTAGGAAAAAAATATCCCACATCTAGATGGCTCCAAATGGTGCAAAATGCAGTCCTATCTTAGAGGGGAATCTCAACCAATGCTTTTTCTGCCGCTCCTATCAGTCAGTGAGGAGCCTGTGGACATGTTTTAAAACTTTCCCTAAGGAAATACCATTGAACCTTCAAACACCAAGGGCTAACACCATTGACCTATTTTACTCCTTACCATCAACCACACAGCATTTGAAAGTTTCAGCTCCGGGCTGAGGGACATCGATGTAACTTTGTCTGGTTGTTGTTGTTGTTGTTGTTTTTCTGCTTTTTTTCTTTTTGATAAAGTATCTTGTCTTGTTATGATGTTTAAAGGAAAACAAAACAAAGCACCATATTTCGGGAGGGGAGAGCAGGGAAGGTTACACACTGCTTTTATCAGTATTCGGGGGTGGGCGGGAGGGGGGCCATTGAAGAGGAAATCAATTCAACATAGCATGACTCTAGGTGTGAGTAATATGGCATGTAACTGGGCAATGGGGATGGGCCTCTCTGTGTTTTAAAACAAGAGCACTTAGTAAGGCATGGAATTGAGCAATTAGGGAAAAGTTATCTCTGCACAGGGGGCAGAGACCGTTGTTCTTTGTGGTGGCATTTTGTGTTTTCTCTCTCTTTGACTTCAGGCTGGGGTGGTCTTGTGGGACTGCCAGGCTAAAGTAAGTAAACGGAACAAGGGGGGGAGGCAGGGGGGGATGGAATGGACAAACAAAGCAGAATCAGGAGAAAAGTACAGCTTCTGGTTTTAGTTGCATCCATTTCATGTTTAGAATTCACAACTCATATGGACGTAGATGGGTGGGCATGAAGTGAAGTGAACAGAGCCATGAATGGTTAAAAAAAAAATGAAGTGATGCTTTCAGGGGTGGCCACAGGGAATGGTCTAGATGGTGTCCACAACACACTCGGACTGCCCCTTCAGTTGGACAATTGTGGCTACCAAATTGACCTTTCCCCCCCCCCCCCACTCACCCCAGGGGACTTTGGATTATTTGGCCAAAACAGTATTATTACTACTAGCAATAATACTAATAATATTATTCTACCATCCATTTTGATAGGTACAGTTAATCCTCGCTTAATGGCCATCTGTTTAACAACCTTTCAAAGTTATGATGGTGCTGAAAAAAAAGAGACTTACGGCTGGTCCACACGCTGCAGTGTTCCCTTGTGATTGTGATCCAGGCACTTTTGAATCAGCTCACACTTATCAATTTTTCAATCATGTGGTTGCCATTTGTGACCTTCTCGACCAGATTCCAACAAGCAAAAATTGATGGAAAAGCCAGCAGGAGGTTGCAAGTCACAGTCACATGATAGCTTACTTAATAGCCATGAATGATTCACTTAACGACCTCATTGCTTAATGATGAATTTTGCTCTCTCCATCATGATTATAAGTTGAGGACTACCTGTACTTGCCATTCCATACTGCATAGTATTTTTAACTAGGACAAATTCTTAATTAAGGTTAAGGAAAGCAAAGCCATGGTGCATTTGTTTGAAGATGTTTTCCTGGCTACTTCTATGCATCACCTGAAAATCTGAGCACTACTGCTCAGCTTGCACATCTTGTGCATGTTCATTTTTGATGAGGAGAAGGAGGAGCTATATAGCTTTTGGGTCTCTCAGGATGACCTTTCACCTTGGGCAGTGAGGCAGGGGGCAAATCATTTGTAGTGCTGATAGTAAAAAAATGAGGAGGTAGGTTGACTCAGGGAAGCTGAGGGCCAGTGAGGCCCTCCAAACCTTCCACCCTACCCCATTCCACAACCCAGGTCCTGTCTCAGGGCTGTAATAGTTCACAATTCCACCTTTTGGAACCAAAAGTATAATTCCTTTGTCCTCCTGGCTGAAAATCTGACCTTAAGATGGAAGTGTCCAAATAAAATTGAAACTTCTTCTAAATTGTTGAACAGGAATCTTCTCTTCCCCAACTGTGAAGCTTGGTTGACGTGCTCGATTAAATTAGTCAAAGAATGGCACAACTCATCAATGGAACGAGAATGCAGATTGAGAGAAAGTTGATGAATGTATGGAAGGAGAAAGATGAGGCTTTAGGAACAAAAACTGTTGAATGAAGAAGAAAAAGTTTGAATGGAAGGTACAGAAGAGAAAATTGCATATCTTCTCTCTCCCTTCATTACTAATTTATCTATCTGTGCACCCTTTTTAATTATCATTTCTCCTTTTATTTTGCACTGCTGGGACAGCCAAACATAAAGCCCATGAATAAGTGAGTGAGTGACTGAATACTGCAGACATATTTTTCTTTGACAGGTGTGTGATGGGGTCTGCAAAGATCAATGTATGTTAAATGAGGGCTGAAGAAGCTGTGTCCAGCCATTTCCATCAGTGTTTTTTGTTACATGTAATTATTATTATTAACAATAAACCAGAATGATGTTGCACGATAATTTGTAGTCTTCATTCCTCTACTCATCATGACAGTTACATAGATCTTTTCCTTAAAATACCCATCTTGAATACAGTACTTATAAGAAATGACAATAAGATGTTCCTTCGTGGTCTGCTGGTCACATATATCTGTTATATCCTATGCACTGTTGGAAACAAAATGCTGGACCAGTTAGACTTTGGTATGCTTCAGCAAAACATTTTAATTCTTATCTTTATTTATTTAATGAATTTATATAGCTGTTCATCTCATAAATGTGACCCTGGGCAGTGTATAATGAAACAAAGAGTTAAAAAGGCTAAACAACGATTAAAACCATAAAACATAATGTATAAATAAGACAGGAAGAATGGATCAATATCCTATATGCAATGTAACCATCTTGCAGGGTTCCTGTTTCTATGGGATCCCCAAGCCAATGGGAAAAAATATATTTTAAAAGACATTTGGAGTTGGGGCTAATTTCACATCAGGTGGAATGATGTTCCAGAAAGCAGGTTCCATCAGATACAAGTCCTTAGCATATGTTACCCATAACATAACTCTCCTGCTGACCTGTTGTGATAAGTAGATGTAACCAGGGAGAGGTGGTGTCTCAAATAACCTAACCCCATTCCATACAGGCTTTGAGGGTTAAAACCAACACCTTGAACTGAACGCAGAAGCAAACTGGCAACCAATGAAGCTTGGTTGCCTATGGGTAGAGATAACTGCATGTGCCATGACTGCTCCCCTCTTGACAATCAAAATAATTCACACATCAGGTTCCTCTATCTCTCAATCCTGGTATCATCAAATAAAATAATCCTTATGTTAAAATAAGAATGGTTTGCTCTAGGCTACTGCAACAAATAAAACATACAATGAAGGATCTTGCTATACTTCTCCCTTAGTTTTATTATACCTAATCAGAGAAGGATTGAAACTTGTTCTTGACACCCAGCATATGGATTAAGAGGGTGCTCCTCAGGAAAAAAAATCTTGATTTTTAGGGGGAGCCAGTCTGAGGGAACACAAGTGAGATTCTAAAACAAAAAAGGAGAGATTAAAGAGCATTGAAAGATTGTGATTGCCAATGGTTTAAATAATTCGGCTCTTCTGTATTCTCCATGCATTGCAGTCTAACACAGAGAAAATGTATTCGGGAAGCAAAATCCCTGATTTCAAAACAGCTGCTCTTGAATGGAATTCAAGATTTCCCTATTTCCAAAGGAATATCTTTCTTCATCAGATAATAGCTCTCTCTCTCACACACACAAACACACAAACACACAAACACACACACACGGGGATTCTGGGA